AAAGAAGATAAGGCGAGCCAGCATTAACTCAATCCGGAGAGAGAAAGATCGGTGAGGGAAAGACGACCACTTACTGGGAAGTGCCAGTGGGAGGCGGGTTTTCGACTTACGCTGATTTTGCCTTGTATCTACCGTGGGGCGAAGCGACCGGACGAAGTTTCAGCGGGTGTGCCGGGAGGTTGGGGCTAACGTAATACGTCGGGAGCTCGGCGTGCGATCGGGAACGGTTTTCTCGGTCAGTTTTAACGACGTTTTGAAGGTACACGACAGGCGTCGGGCCGGGAGATCATCGCGGGCGCATATATGCCGTTAAAACGCATTAGGGAGGATGTTCATGTGTCTGCAGTTCTGTCGGGCGCAATTTTGTGGGGTTCTCATGACCCGAGCGATAGTGTAACTCCAAGCCCTAAGGGTTGTACAATTGGTTATAGAGGTAGAAAAGCATTAAGAGGACGAGTCCCGGCGGGGACTACGCATCGACCTCAGGAGGTAGAACGACGCGGCCTCGATGGTCTCCCAAGAGAGAGATAATGAGACCTCTGCTTGGGATTGAGCGTCCATCTTTCGGTAACAAGTAGGTCGGTGAGGAGGTCCTTAGTAATGCGAGTTGGCGTCTAAGCACAACCGGAAATTGGGTAGTAGAGGTAGGATTTTTTCGGGCGCCGGCCGTCGCTGAGAGGGGTGCGTTTGTGCTCTTCGAAGCTCTCCTCTGTTCGGTTTACGATGGATTCTCGCTGGAAGAAGAGTTGTAAGGAACATAGGGCGCGAGCCGCGTAGAACGACGACGGTGTACCGCAGGGGAAAGGGGTTGTCATTTCACCGGCCGCGAAGGGGCGTTTTCGAGTCGTTAGGAGAAGCTTTCAGCGGTGCGTTAAAAGCCCAGTTTTTGAAGAGCTTATTATACGTGGATCTCGTAGACTCGGCTCTTCTTTCGAGGAACATGGATCTGCAAATGACAACTTTAAGCCTTTCGAGGCAGACGCACCAGTATATAAGAGGGTGATCTGGGTGTAAGATTTTCTCGTATTCAGAGAGACGGGCGACAAGGGGACGGGTGCTTGGCGGTAAACGTGGGCCGTTCAACCTTAATAAATGGGAATCTGGAGTCGCAGAGACCAGTTAACAACGGAACTTGAGTGCTCAGGGCTTTTCCGCCGTGAAAAACGAACGCAAGATCCGCAGAGGAAAGGAGCGGGCGACTGCGGTCTCTGGGCCGAGGAGAACGGACGAGGGGCGGCCGAGGACAGAGGGCCACCCGAATCTGCCGGGCAGAGTTGGAGGGCGGGAGGGGGGGGGTGTCGAGTGCCAAGGGCCGGGGCGGGATTTTGGGGGGGGGGGCGACGCAGAATTTTGCAGCCGTCACCGCCGGACCAGATTTGGGCCGGTGGGGCGCGTCTGTGGTACCACGGGCGTTAAATTGCGAATTCGGGCCGGAGGCAAGGACGGCGGGAAGCAACCGATGGCGGCCAGACCTGATGGGTGATGGCGAAGGTCGCGTAGTTTAGAAAGGCGGGAAACGGCAGGGAAGACCGCCATCGTAGGAAGCTAAACCCACAGTTATACTTCGCACAGTTAACTACTTGTTCATTCTATAACAACGTTCTTGCATCTAAACATTCCACAAGAAACGGAAACATCTCCATATTTACTGGTTTCCAAAAGTGTTTGAAAAAGACTTTAATTCAGGTTAAAGCTAAGGCATCCGGGGCCGGACTCAACAGTCGAAACCCTTGAGTGTTCGGAGACGCTTCATTAGACACGCAGTTGCGGCCGTCGTTGGCAACTACCTAGGATTCTCCAGGACGTGGTTGTCAGAATTTCGCCTTAGAGTCACAGTACGACGATCAAACCTTTGATTGTCCAGGCAAACTATGCCTAGGAAGGGGCGTCTTCCGAACAGCCAAGTATTTATTGAATTCAAGTGAGCAACTTTAGATCTCTTTATGATATTTTCCCAAGACGACTTATAACAGCAATAGTCGAGTAGTGATAGTGACTGATTTGAGGCAAATGGCGTCAGTGGTGGGCAGGACGGCTCGGGGGATGGCAACCGCAGTAAAGAAAGCAGCCCCAGCAGCGTAGGCGGGTTGACGGCGGGGCGAGCAACGGGTTGGGGGCGGAGGGCGGTGGCGTTGGGGAGGGGCGTGGTCGGCACGACGGCCGCAGCCACAGCCGCACCGGGCGCCGCGCCGTGGCGTGGCGTGGCGTGGCGCGGTGCCGGCTGCTCGGGCGAACGGGTAGATTCCAGCTGCGGCCGCTGCGGTCGCGCGCCCGATCCCCCCCCCCCCGCGCCAGGCCATTAGGTGCCGCCAAATGAGCAAACGAGAGGCGCAACTGCACGCGTTACTCCGATGGAGCACGTTATCGAATTCCACCTCGTACCACTTGCTCCAGAATACGTGCATCGCAGGGAATCAACGGGAGATATTGCGCTTGAGTTTTGCTAAATGGGGCATTTCAGAGCTTTATCAATCTAATATAAATCGGTAGCCTTCCAACTTACGTTTTATCCCCACAGCCTATTATTAAGATTAATATACTCTCTGAAAATCTCATTGTTTATTCGTCTACTCCCTCAAATATTCATGAAAAACCGCAAAATATTTTCTGTGGAATGATGAATAACTAACTCAGTTCAGTACATCCAGTATGTGCTTCAGGGCAAAATGACACACCCCAATCACAGGAAGTGAATAACTGTGAATGTTGTCTAAATATTTTTGGCGAATAACAATTTGTAGTTTAATTCATCTGACGTGGCCAAGTGACCCAGCAATTAATATGAGGATTTACACTGTCTATGGCATGAGTGGTCTCGCAGATTCCTTTGAATAGTGCTCGCCGCACAAGCAAGCACACCGAGCACGTGCTAGTGAATAGAATTTCCGAAGAACACATTTTACTAGGGTAAAGAGCAACCCGGTGAGATTAAAATTAATATTTCCCTCGATAAATTAAACAATGATCTTTGAAACTTATTCTCCTTCACTTACTAAAGACATTTCCTCGCTCACTCTATTCAACTCTGATACTAAAGAATAGAAAGTTCATTGCATTTTTCTTTCTGACTGCTAAAGTTCTTCGTCAAATCTACGTATTTTCCTTGAACTCCTATACTAGCGAATATCTTAGATATCATCTAACTCTATATATTGATTATGAAAAGATATTTGAAAATCCATAAATTTATAAACCTTAACTAGAAAAAAATGAGTAAAGTGGAAAAGAAACGCTAACAAGGAACTTGCTAACTACAAGGCGTTTTACAAGCAAAGCAAATACAAATATGGAAATCCTCTAATAAATTTTTGAAGTGAGTTCACACAAAAACACGTTTCAAAAAATCCGCTGTTTGTCAATAAAATAAAAGTAGTTATAACTCAAAGAAGGAATAAACTTCACCAACAGGCGAGCACAAATCTTCAATTTTATAGACTGCCACTCAGTTACAAACAAATAAAAGAAATTGTTAGAGTATTCCTGAAGAAACGACAAATGTGTACATACTGCCATTACTTTTACTGCAACGTCAAGAAAGGAAATGCTGTAATACGTAGAACAAATAGGTAATCAACAGTGAACAGTAGCAAACAGTTATCATTTACGAGAGACATTCCTATTGTTAGTTCCAAATGACTATCGACAAAAAGAAGCCGCGGCCATCTCTGAACGAGTGAAGACGCTGGCCTGGCAACGGGGAGGGGCGCGGCGCCGCGAGTGGCGAGGACGCGGCGCTAGGAGGTCGGGGGCGGCCGCGGCGTGCGCGTGGGGTGAGCGACCGCACGGGCGCGCATCGCCTCCGCCTCCGCCCTCTGGCCACCCCCGCGCGCGCGCGCCAATCACACGTCATCAACGTGCCTGGGCAACAATGCGAGAGGAAATCAATAGGGGAAGCTGCCACCTGACGAATTCCGCCCAACGCGGCCCGCTGCCCGGCCGCCCACGCAGCCCGACACGGGAGGGGAGGGGCGTGGGGGGCGCGGGCCAGGGGCAGTGGTGGGCAACGGGGTCACCGAATCACCTGCCTGGGAATGGGCGGCTTCCGGCTGGCGAGGGCGGGCCGGCTGCCAGCGGAAGGCGTCGAGGCCCGGGCGCGTCGCGCTGCGCCGGCGCTGACGGTCTACGGAGAGACGCTGTTGAAAGTCGGGCTGGTGGTGGCGGAAATGATGGTTTTTGGCC